AAATAAATAAATAAAAATCTTAAAAAAAAAAAAAAGAGCATGTATCTTCACAGGAGAAGTCATGAGCAAGGACTCTGGGATTGGAGAACTTGGGTCCAAACCCAGACTCTCCCTCTCCTGTCAAGTAACCCTGGGCAGAAGACTATTTCTGTACTGTGATTCCTCCTTTGTTTAGTGTGGATGATTCTAGCACCCAGCTCATATTTATCCAGGTAAAAAGCTCCATGTATAGTGAGTGATCAGAAAGTATTTGATTATTTGTTTTATATAATGAACACTTATATCGTGTTTACTCTGTGCCCAGCCCTGTGCTTAAGCACTTTACAGAATTTGACTTGTTCAAACCTCATTACAGCTTTTGAAGTAGTAATAATTATTATCTTACAGATGAATAAATCAAGGCGCAGAGAGATTGGTTGCAGCTCCTAGCTGGCTTTTTTTTTTTTTTTTTTTAAACGCAATGCATAGAAGATTGGCATACCTGGGTGTAAGAGAGAGACAGAGAGAAAGAAAAAGAGAGAAAACGAGAGACAGAGGCACAGAGAGATAAAGAGATAGAGATGGGGGAGCAGAGAGAATATGGAGGACCATGTCTGGGGTTTTTCCTGGCTCCACATCAGTGTGGTAAGTTGGAGCCTTTCCTTCCCAGACAGAACAAAACCACTGGTGTTTTCACAGAGCCCTCCACTCCTGCACCTGGGTGGGAATACCATCTCCAGCCCCCAAATCATTAAGCCTGCCCTTACTTGCTGCTGGAGGTATCTCCATTAACAAGCAACCCCCAGATTTATCTGGAGGAGGACAAGAGGCCCTTGGAAGCCCCACGGTGGGTGGATATTGGGTGCCCTGACCTTCCCACAAGCCTTGGCTCTCCCTGCACCTGTCACAGCTCGGGAGGTCAGTGAGGAGCCGTTCACGCTGAACTTCACCATCGACAACCTGCGCTACTCAGCAGATATGGGCCACCCCGGCTCCCTCAAGTTCAACATCACAGACAGCCTCATGCAGCACCTGGTGAGAGGCCAGCTTCCCCGTCCCCACCTCCATGACACCTCCTCTGGGCTGTCGCCAGCTGTGACCACACTGGCCCTCTCCTTCCTCTCCAGCTCGGCCCATTGTTCCAGAGGAGCAGCCTAGGAGCCCGATATGCAGGCTGCAAGGTCACCTCACTGAGGTGAGAACCCCTCCACCCACCCACCATGGCCCATCACCAAAGGACAGGACTTCTGACTATGGGGGGCCACTCCCAGCTGTGGCAGACTGTCTTAGAGGGTCCTTTTTGGCATCCATGTCTTTATGTTACATTACTGTTATAATTGTGACAAAACACGTATAGACATAAAATTAGCCATTTCACCATTTTAAAGTATCCATTTCAGTGGCACCTGTTACATGCACGATGCTATGAACCCATGACCACTAGTAGTTCTGAAACCCTTCATCACTCAGGCAATTACTTGCACTTTTCTGGGTTGGTATGCATTCTGTAGGTGTCTACAAAGCACTTTTCCCTCTGTGTTTTCCATTCCACTGTCACTGGTGGTGCAGATCCTCTGAGGCAGGTGGTGGGTACCAGACTGAGAGCACAGGCATTGCCCCTGCACTCATCTAGTGGAGAAAGCAGAAACTAAGCAGGAGAATAAATATCTAAAAGGGTTTCAAATATAGTAAGGTGATGGGAAGCAGAAGTGCATAGAGACGGGAAAGCAGCTTTACCCAGGGCACAGGACAGTGCGTCTGTGGAGGTGATTTCTGAGCGGTATCGCAGTTGGAAAAGAAGGATTTGGCCATGAAAACTGTTCCAGGCAGAGGAAACAGCATGGGCAAAGGTCCTGAGGTAGGAATGAGCTTGGCATGTTCAGTGAACAGCAAGGAGGCCGGTGTGGCTGGAGCAGAGAGAGAGGGTCAGAGAGAAAGGAAGTGCATTTCCAGATAGCAACAAGGTCTACACTATGCAGAATCTTGGCGGGAATTGATTTTTTTTTTTTTTTTAATTGTGGTAAAAGATGCCAAAACAGAAAATTTACCATCTGAACCATTTTTAAGTGTCCGGTTCAGTAGTGTTAAGTATATTCACGTTGTTGTGCAATCAATCTCCAGAACTTGCACAAACTGAAACTCTGTATCCATTAAACAATAGCTCCCCACTTCCCTCTGCCCCCAGATATTAGCAATCGCCATTCTACTTTCTGTCTCCATGAATTTGATCACTCTGGGTACCTCATTACAAATGAAATCATATGGTATTTGTCTTTTTGTGTCTGTCTTATTTCACTGATCATAGTGTCCTCAAGGTCCATCCACATTGTGGCAGGTGTCAGGATTTCCCTCACTTTTAAAGCTGAATCATATTCCATTGTATGGATATATCATATTTTGTTTATCCATTCATCAGGACTTTGGTTTTTGCATGGAACAGGCAGTGTGCGAGGTGCTGGGAGTTTGGCACAAAGGTGAGCCAAACTGTCCCATAACACTTCCTCATGGAGGCCACTGTCTGGAGAGAAAAGGAAAAATGATACATGTTAACACTGAGGGCCATCAGGGCTGGGATGGGGGAAGCATGAGGTCCTGTGGCAGCCAGGACCCTCTCTTGATTCAGTCTGGGAGGGTTCTTGGAGAAGGTGTCTAAGTTGAGATCTGAAGGATGACCGGGAAATTACCGGAGAGTGAGGAGAGAAGGGGAGGGACCTCCAGACAGAAGTCGCTGCATGTGCAAAGATCCTGGGGTGAGAGTGTGTGGCCAGGTGGAGAAACTGTGAATGGTTCAATAAGGCTGGAACACAGGATATGATGTGTGCAGTGACCACAGGTGGCAAGGTGCCACATGGGCTGTAGTCCCTACACATCGATCTCTCCTTCCTCAGGTCTGTGAAGAATGGCGCCAAAACAAGGGTGGACATCCTCTGCACCTACCGGCAGCCCCCCAGCAGCCCAGGTCTGCCTGCCAGGCAGGTGTTCCATGAGCTGAGCCGGCAGACCCATGGCATCACCCGGCTGGGCCCCTATTCTCTGGACAAGGACAGCCTCTACCTCAATGGTGAGCGATTCTCAGCCCCCCTCACTGCTTCCACCCCTCCATCCCACAGGTCAGGTCTCTAGGGGAGACCTTGAGACAAACTCAGGTGTGAATCTCAACTCCATACTGACCCCCACCCTCCAACTGTCACTCCGTAAAACTGTCCCTGATCACACCTGTTTTACAGATGAAGAAATGGAGGCTCTAAAAGGTTAAGTAATTTGCCCAAGTGGGTGTAGCTAGAGAAGAGTGGAGCCAGGCATGAGCCCCAGCAGTCAGCATCCAATGCTATGCCCTACCCTATGCCTTTAACTCCTAGAAGGGTCGTTCCAGGGGATACACGGGGAAAGAAAATCCCACATCTGTCTTCCTTCCCAGCTTCTCACCCTAGACCAGAGATGGGCTTCTCTCCTGGGTGGGGCCCCAATGCCAGGAAGTTAGGTGGGCACTCTGAACATCTGTGGGGTCCAAGCTCTGGACATGCTGGGTATCAGCCTAGAAGCCAGGAAGGGATAGTGTTTAAGAGGGTGACCCTCCTCTGGGGTTCTGAGAGGCAGAACATGGAACATGGTGAGGTTTATTGGAATAACTCAGCTTCTCTCCTCTCTGTCCCCAACTTGGGGATGGTGTTTGGCAACTCACACTTTCTTATCACCATTGCCACGTCAGGTGGGCAGGGAAACATCCTTGTCCTTTATGACTCATTTGAGCAAAGAGGGAGATGTACAGAGAAGGGAAGGGACCTGCCCATGCTACTCATAGGTTTGTGGTAATTCTGGGTCTTGATGTTGTGAGTTCACATCTGTTCCCTTCACCTTGGCCATTGCAGGGGCCAGTTTAGGATATTTCCCCCTGTAAAATATGCTTCATTTTGTTCACTCAGTCAGCAGTCGCCAGCATCTGCTATAAGCCAGGCCTTGTGCCTGGCACCAGGGATTGACAGGCTACATGGGCAACCTGTCTTAATGTAAGCTCCAAAGGGGCAGAGACATTTTGTTCAATGCTGTATTCCCCAAATGTATAGAACTTGGCACATAGTAGGTTCTCAATAAATTGTTGTTGGATGGAGGGATAGATTGAAGGGAGGGTGGAAGGGTAGATGGTGGGATGGATAGATATGTGGGGGAATAAATGTGTGAACATAAATGTGATGAGTCTCTTGGGGGCATGCTGGAGAGGTGGATAGGGAAGGGTCATCTCTAACTGGAAGATCGGGAAAAGCTTAATGATGGAGATTACATCTGAGTCTGATCTTAGAAGATGCATAGATGCTAACCTGGTACACAGAGGAAAAGGCATCCAGCAGGAGTCCCACACGGACAAAGGCATGGAATATCTGGGATTGTTCTGCCATCTCCCCTTATGTGTGACATTTTTGTTTCCAGGCTATAATGAACGTGGTCCAGATGAGCCTCCTACAAGTATGTATCTTTGCATCCAGTACCCATATCAGCCTCTATGGGTCTTGAGCCAAACTTTTCTCCTCACTAATAAAGGGAGCTTGCCCCAAACTCAGGCTGTTTTCCTGAGTGGGGCCAGGTGTCAGTGGGAAGAAGAATGCTGAGTCCTTGGTCTCTTCTGGGCCTGCAGGCATGACTTTGGCTTTCTAAACTTTCCACACCCTTTTGGGTTGGAGGAAGAAATTTGAACAAACATTTCCTACAGGGATGCGGGTTGAGGTCAGATGATGAGTCCATGCCTCCTGAAAACAAGATCTCCTACAAGGGCCACAGAAGGGGCCTCAATGTAGAGCTGAAAACTGGTGGCCACTCAGTGGTTTGGCCAAACTTGCCTGTTCAGTTGTCCAATGGTCTCTTCATCTATCTTTTAATCCATCCATTCTTCCATTCTCCGAGTTATCTCTTCTCTCAGACTTCATTCTTCCTTCCTTCCTTCCCTCCATTCATCCTTTCTTTCTTCTTTCCCTTTGTCCATCCATGCATTCATCCATTCTTCCTTCCTTCCATTCATCCATCCATCCTTCCATCTCTCCTTCTTTCCTCCATCCTTCATTCCTTCTCTCCTTTGTCCATCCTTCCATCCATCCATCTTTCATTTTTACCTTTCTTCCATCCATTCATCTCTCCATCCATCCTTTCTTCCTTTTCCCTCCATCCATCCATCCTTCATTCATTCTGTGCTTCATCCATTCTTCTATCCTTCCTTTCATCCATCCATCTGTCCATCCATCCATCCATCCATCCTCTGCCTATTCTCTTGCTTGTCTTTTCCTCCTTTTGTCCTTCTTTCCATCTCTCCAACTTTTCTTCCTGTGTTTATTCTTGCTTTCTCTTTGACCCCCTCATTTGTTCACTCTTCCTATGTCAATCCAGGTATCCCATCTGTCTGCCTGCTTTTCTGCCCATTCATCTCCCTGTCCTCTTTGCTTAGTCTCTCTCTTGTTTATCTACCCTACTTTCTTGAGTTTATTTCACTCATGGGCTCATTCACCCCTCTGCTCACACAATTCCTCCTTCTCTTACTCTCATTTATGGCACACCTGTGAATGCCTGTCCTGGGACAACCACTGCTGGAGCCCAGGCAAGCTTTGGGGAGTTTCTCCCACTCTGTGGGGACTCTGTTCCTTCCTGATGACTGCCCTTTCCACAGCTCCTGGGGCAGCCACCACATTCCTGCCTCGTTCATCATCACCTGTGCAACTAGAAGCCACCACAGGTATCTGGGAGATCCCTTTTCCTTCCCAAGAAAAGCTCTCCAGCCCCACACCTCTACCAGTCAGTTGTAAAATTCTGGTATAGGACAGTCATGTCAATAGCAAAGATTATACTGACAATTCAATCTAATGCATACCCTCATGGAGCCCCCAGGCTTGTGAGATCAGCAGACCATTATAACACAGTGTGAGACATTTTAGGGAAAGGCACCTAGTATAATTTTGAGGGGAAGGGCTTTCTGGAGAAAGTTTTACCCAAACTGAGTCTTTAAGAATGAGGAGGGCTCATCCAGGAAAATAGAGGATGAAGAGTTTTCCTGGTATAGGAGATTCAGTGAGCAAAGGCTCAGTGGCCAGAAACAGCATCGTGTATGGAGAGAATTGAGAGGGATCTGGTTTGCTTAAAGCATTAAGCTTAACCTGGAATAGATGGATAAGTGAAGATGAAAGGTTGGAAAGAACCATATTGGGAAGGACCTTGAGTACCAGGTCAAGAAGCTTGAACTTGACACTGAAGGCCAAAGGAAGCCATGGGCAGTGGTGACTATACTGAAACTTTCACTTAAGAAAAATTCTTCTAGGGGCGCCTGGGTGGCTCAGTCGGTTGAGCGACTGCCTTCAGCTCGGGTCATGATCCTGGAGTCCTGGGATCGAGTCCCGCATCGGGCTCCCGGCTCGGCGGGGAGCCTGCTTCTCCCTCTGACCCTCCCCCCTCTCATGCTGTTTCTCTCTCGCTCGTTCTCTAATAAATAAATAAATAAAATCTTTAAAAAAAAAAGAAAATTTCTTCTAGTGTTCAGTGTAGAGAACATTCTTTAGAGAGGGCATCCAGTATGTCTGCTGGGGTGTTGGCCCAAGTGAGAGAAGATAAGGCTTGGGCTGGAACAGGATAGAGAGGATGTATCTGAGGACTCTTCTGCAAGTGGAATTGGGGTTACTTGGAGGGGAGGGAGGAGGAGCTGAGCAACATGATGGTTTTGACTTGGGCGACCAAATGGTGGGTGGTGGTGCCACTGGAAGAGAAGATGACAGAGTACAATGAATGCAGGACTCTGATTTGGTCTCAGGCCAACTCTCAGTAGTAGCTGTCTCTCCCCTCTCTTCTTGTAGCTATGGGACACAACCTGAAGACCTTCACACTAAACTTCACCATCTCCAACCTCCAGTATTCAATGGACGTGAGCAATGGCTCAGCTGTGTTCAACTCCACCAAGAGGACCTTGCAGCGCCTGGTGAGACCCTGCTCCCAGCAGCTCCAAGTGGGATAAATTCTACCCAGCCCTTCCCCCACCCTTGTCTCTCCTGTTCATTCTCCTCCTCCTTCCTCCCCAGCTTGGATCCTTGTTCCAGAAAAGCAGTCTGGGCCCCTTCTACTCAGGTTGCAGACTAATCTCCCTCAGGTAGGACTTTTTCCTGAGCATTTGTCAGTAGTGACCATTTTGGTGACCAACCCTCCCAGTCTTCCCACTGACCTCCCATTTGCTCCTCCCTCCTTGTGGCCCCCATAGTGAGGTTTCAGGACCTCTCTTTAGAGTCCCTACATCCCTCTGTCCCCAGACCTGAGAAAGATGGGGCAGCCACCCATGTTGATACCATCTGCACCTACCGCCATGATTCCATGGGCCATGGGCTGGACAGAGAGTGGCTTTACTGGGAGCTGAACCAGCTGACCCATGGTGTCACCCAGATGGGCCTCTACACCCTGCTCAGTGACAGCCTCTTGGTCAATGGTGAGTGATTTACAGCAATCATTATTGGTCCCTGTTTTACTTTATTTACTCTTTAACAAGTCAGCCCAGGTTCTGATTAGGGGACACCCTCCCCAAACTCTCCATGGAGAAGTCTCTCCTGTTATTTCAGGTAAATAGCATGAAATTCTTTGACCAATTAAAAAATGAATTTTAATTTGAACCCCAAATGTCTGACTCATGGAATCTTTTGGGACAGGAGTTCTTCTATGTGAGGCTCCTCTATGTCAGTGATTCTAACCTAGAGGCAGTTCTGCCCCTCAGGAGACACTTGGCAATGACTGGAGACATTTTGGTTGCCACAACTGGAGAAGAGTGCTACCGGCATCTAGTGGCTAGAGGCCAGGGATGTTGCTAATGTCCTCCAACAAACAGGAGATCCTCACCACCAAGATTTACATAGCCCCAAACACCAGTAGTTCTGAGGATGAGAAACCCTGCACTACATGGTCCCATGGTCCCTAGTATGGGCACCAGACCAACTTAATCATACTTCACCACAATTGTTTAATTACCTAACTCTATGAAATTAAGGTCTTGTAATATGGCACTGTAGCCTCAGTTCTTTATGTGTTAGTACATCGTCATACCCAATGAATGAGTAAATGAGTGAACAAAATGGAGATGAGTATCTCAGCCCCGCTATTTGAGTATCCACTGCAGTTCACATTCACTCCTTCAACAAACACATATACATTACCATTCTGTCCCAAGCCATGTGCTGCGTACAGAGATAGAACACACAGGTTCTGTCCCTGAAAATCTCATAACCAAGAGAACTGAATATTACTTAGGGACACACAAAAAAGGCAGAAACACTGCTATTAACAGGGTGCCATGGAAGCACAGAGGAGGGACAATTCAGGGAGGGCTACCTGGAAGAGGATATTATGTACCCAATACTGTACTAGGCCCAGGGACATGGCAAGAACAAGATCCCTACTCTCCTGGAGTTCCATCTCACTGGGGTTCTGAAACATGAGTAGGAGTTTTCCAGGAAAAGCAGAGGACTGAAGAACATTCCAGGAAGTGGAAACTGCATAAGCACAACAGAAAGCCTCGCCCCGGGACTGTAAAATTCCAGTTTTCCGGGACGCCTGGGTGGCTCAGTCGGTTAAGCGTCTGCCTTCAGCTCAGGTCATGATCCCAGGGTCCTGGGATCGAGTCCCGCATCGGGCTCCCCCCTCCGCGGGGAGCCTGCTTCTCCCTCTGCCTCTGTCTCTCTCTCTGTCTCTCATGAATAAATAAATAAAATCTTTAAAAAAAAAAAATTCCAGTTTTCCCCCCCTATGGGGTGACTTTCCATTTGGAAGCCCCCAGCATGTGGGCCTGACCTTCGCTGATTCTGACAGTAGGCACCATGCCTCTCTCTGTGCTAAAGGCTAAGAGTCTCCAACTGTCTTCTCTCCCTCTCATTGGCTCCAGGCTATGCACCCCAGCATTTATCTACCCAGAGGGAGTATCAGCTAAATTTCCGCATCATCAACTGGAACCTCAGCAACCCCACATCCTTGGAGTACACAGCCCTGCGGAGGGACATCCAGGACAAGGTAGTGTCTCTCTCACCTGTCCCATCTCTCCTTGCCCTGGGTGCCCCCCTCGTTCCTCTGTCTGATTCACATCTGTTAAGTGGTTATTTTAACTCTCCACTTTACCTATGTGTTCTGAGTTCTCTCAGTTTACAAAGGTGGTGCTCTGGCTGCCTTCCCCATCTTCCAGATGGGCAAACTGAGGCTCAGAAAATGGAGTGGTGTGCCTAAGATCACACAGCCAGGATTTGAACTCAGAGCTCCTTTGCTCCAAGGCCTATGTTCTTTCACTGGCTCCAGTAGCCCGCTCCAGCCCCAGGAGCCCTCCATCTCACCCACTGTCCCCCTTTATTCTAGGTCACCGAACTCTACAGAGGCAGCCAGCTACAAGACATATTCCACTCTTGCCTGGTCACCAACTTGACGTAAGTTGAGGAGGTTGGAAGCACTGGCTGAGCTGGCAGCTTGTGGCTCTGAGCTTCCATCCTGGCGCAGTCTTTGAGCTGAAAGTCACTGACATGGTACCCATGCTCCCCCACGTCCCTGTCATCTATTCCTATCATCTCCTTCCATAAGTCTTCAAAGGGGGGGCAGGAAAAGGATTAACCTCACAGGGCCACCAACACTAGCATCCACCACCTTCTCCTCTTCTGGATACTTTCAACAAAGATCAGCCCAATATTAACATTTCCCATGGCCGCACCCCTGCTGAGCACTTTCATGCATTGTCATCCATGGGATTCTCACACAGCCCCTGTGAGATGGGTACTTATCGTGATCATCCCCATTGTTCAGATGGGGAAGCTGAGGCTCAGATAAGCGAAGTGAACAGCTCAAGAATTGCCCAAGTTAGGTTTGAACCCAGGTCTGTGAAGAATGGGTGGAAGAACTGAGACATCTATACTGGGGAACAGGAGGAACATGGACACAGTGCTGACTTTGAGTGTTTCCAAACTTCAGTTCCTTTGTCTCTAAGATGGGGATAATTATAATAATACCTTCCACCAGAGTGATGGTGAGGGAATGTGTAAGTCACTTCCTAGAAGTGCTCAATAGATGTTCGTTATTTTTATATTTGTTCTATTCCCAACTCCTGGAAACCTTGTATTTTTGGTCAGGTCTCCTCTAGCCTGGGAGCTCACCTCTCACTTCTTGCCTCTAGGTCTTTGGGTCTATAAAATAGGAATTCAGGAGACACTACTGATGTTGAGTGATGGCTGAGTTCCGTGGTCTCTGTCCCTAGGTTGGGCTCCATGTTTGTCACCATCCAGGCACTGTTCTCTTCTAATGTGGACCCCAGCGTGGTGAAGAAAGTCTTTCTGGACAAGACCCTGAATGTCTCATCCCACTGGCTAGGCACCACCTATCAGCTGGCGGACCTTCATGTGACAGGTGCAAGATTGGGGGCTGGTTTCATGGCTTGAAGAGATGGGGCTATGAGAAAGGAAGGATGGGGCTTCTCAGTAGCAGTGGAATGGATGGAGGCTCTGGAGGGGAAAGGGGGGCTTTCTGGAGGCCCATGTTGATGACCCATGGCATTGGATCATCCAACAGGAGGTAGGAAGAAAACATGCAGCAACTGCACCCAAGGGAATTATTATTTTTACTCTTAAATCTTTCTGACCCAAAATGTAGAGTATCCTGAGTTGCCAGAGTCGTGCATCGATTGATTGATTGAAGGATGCATTCATTCATTCAACAATATGTCATGAAATTAAATAGGCACTGATGATGCACTGTGGTAACTGCTATAATCAGAGAATTTCAAGAGCCTATGGGAACTCCAAGGAGGGACACACAGTCCATCTTGGAAAGTTTTCTGGAGGAAGTGATGAACAAACTGAGATGTGATGGTGAAGATGACTTAGCCAGTGGGAAGAGATGGGGAGTTGAGCTACATGTGTTTATAACCTAGAAGACAGAATATTTGGGGAGGCTATAAGGAGTTTGGTATGGCTGGAGCAAATACTTTGATGTGGGAGAAATGGCAGGTAAGGCTATAGATGCAGGCAGGGACTTTCTTGGGCACTGGAATAGTTTGCAGAGGAACACAACACAGAGTTCTGCTTTAGAAAGCTCATCCACTGGGTGCTGTATAGAGAGTGGATTGGGAGGGGGAGAAGACCAGAGGCAGCAAGACACATTAGGAACCTTGGTCAGCAAAGGTGTATGACAGATGTCCCCTGAGGTGATCAGCACCTGCACTTGCCTTCTGTTCCCCAGAAGGGCTCCAGTCTCCTCTTCCCCACATACTAGTGAGCTCTCATTATGCTTGGGGGAGAGTTGGATGGATAGACAGATCAGTGGATTCAAAGTGGCCAGGTGGATAGAGGTTCTGATGTAGCCCACCTTTAAAAATCCAGCTCGGATCACATGGCCAGGAATAAGTAGACTAGCTGGAATGACTTCTTTGCTAATATCTTCACCTGATTGGGACTTTTATACCTTCTTTTTATTATAGAAGTGGAGCCATCAGCTCATCTACCAACAGACAAACCAACAAGCAGTCCCTTCCCCAAGCACTTCCAGCTGAATTTCACTGTCACCAACCTACTCTATTCCCAGGACATAGCCCAGCCAGGCACCACCAAACACCAGCAGAACAAGAGAAGTATTGAGAATGCGGTGAGAATGGGGTTGTGTGTCTACTCTGTCCCCAGGTAGAGACAGACCTATGGACACTGGGTAGTCAGAGGGTGATTTTTCATAACAATTCGTGAAGACAGGTTCTTTTTTTTTTATGTTATGTTAGTCACCATACAATACATTATTAGTTTTTGATGTGGTGATCCACGATCCATTGTTTTCGTATAACACCCAGTGCTTATGCCCATTTAGAAATTAAGAAACAGGCCCAGAGAGTTTCAGTAGCTAGTCCAGGGTCATGTAACTAAGCCATACCCTGGAATGGGATGTGCTTTGGTACACGTATCTGGGCTAGTGTTTGTTGAGATAAGAAAAAATAGATGGGGAAGTATGCTCAGTGGCTAAAAATTCTCTGATGCCACTTGGCCTGGGATGATGATCAAGGGACCATCGCCCTGTCTTTCAGCTCAACCAGCTCTTCCAGAACAGCAGCATCAAGAATTTTTTCTCTGACTGTCAAGTTTTAGCATTCAGGTGAGTTCCAGCTCAGGACCTAATCACTCTGGAGACTCCTGCTGTCCTTTAAGTAAACGTGTCCCCATGTCATGGTCCCAGTTCTAGCTCTTATGGAAGATAGCCCTGGGAGTATAGAAGTGTTACCTAAAAACCAACTTGTTCCTAAGCCAGTGAGCCCAACTGGCTTAGAAATTCAAGAAAGCCAGGGTAGACTTCAGCAGACTTGGAGGTGCCTGGTGTTGGGGCCATGGAATATGGAATGTAGCATCCATGCCTTAAGAAATTAGCTGTTGAAGTTAGGATCCATAGAAGATGGGGGTGGCTAGAGCCAGATGACTTAGAATCCAGCAGTCTAATTGTGCGGCTCAGTAGTGTAGCCACTAATCAAGTGAAGCAATCCAAACTGTTTTACATCTATTAAGATATGATTCACATAGAAAATGTACCCCTTTGTAGTGTACAATTTAGTGGTGTATTTAGAGAGTGGTACAACCATCCCACTATCTAATGGTGGAATTTTTTTTATTATGTTCAGTTAGCCACTGTATACTACATCATTAGTTTTTTTTTTTTTTAAAGATTTATTTATTTATTTGAGAGAGCGAGAATGAGAGAGAGAGAGAGTACATGAGAGGGGGGAGGGTTAGAGGGAGAAGCAGACCCCCTGCCGAGCGGGGAGCCCGATGCAGGACTCGATCCGGGAACTCCAGGATCATGACCTGAGCCGAAGGCAGTCGCTTAACCAACTAAGCCACCCAGGCGCCCTACATCATTAGTTTTTGACGTAGATGTGATGTAGGGTGTGGAATGTTGTTTTTTTTTTAATCCTATCCTCATTAGCAGTTGCTTCCTAGTCTTCCTTTATCCGCATCCCCTAGAAAACAATAATCTACTTTCTGTCTCTCTGGATTTGCCTATTCTGAACATTCCATATAAATGGATTCATATACTATGTGGTCTTTTGTGATTGACTTCTTTCCCTGAGCATGTTTTCAAGATTCATCCATGTTGTAGCACATATAGGTACTTCATTCCTTTTTTTATGACTAAATAATATCTGTTGTATAGCTATACTACTTTTTAAAAAAATTTTATTTAAATTCAATTTAATTAACATATACTGTATTATTAGTTTCAGAGGTAGAATTTAGTGATTCATCAGTTGCATATAACACTCCGTGCTCATCGCATCACATGCCCTCCTTAATGCCCATAACCCAATTACCCCAGCCCCCAACCACCTCCCCTCCAGCAACCCTCAGTTTGTTTCCTAGAGTTAAGGGTCTTTTATAGAGGAAAACCATAAGGGGGGCTATACCATTTTGCGTTTATCCATCCATTCATTGATGGACCTTGGGTTATCTCCACTTTTTATCTATTGTGAGTAATGCTGCTATGATCATTCTTGTGTAAGTTTTTGCATCAGTTTGTGTCTTCAGTTCTCTTGGGCATATACATAGGACTGGTATTGTATGGTCATATGGTAATTCTGTGTTAACTTTTGAGGAACTACTGAACTGTTTGCCACAGAGGCTCTACCATTTCCCACTCCCACAAGCAATATATGAGAGTCCCAAACTATCCAGATTCTCAGCAACAATTTTTATTATCCTTTTTTTACTATAGTCATCCTAGTGGAGGTGAAGTGGTATCTCACTGTTGTTCCAATTTGTATTTTCCTAACAATTAGTAATGTTGAACATTTTTTCAAGTACTTATTGGTCATTTCTTATCTTCTTTGGAGAGATGTCTATTCAAGTCCTTTTCCCAGTTTTACGTTGATTTTTTTTATTGTTGAGTTATCATCATTTTTGTGTGTTCTGGATAGTAGACCTTTATCAGATATATGATTTGCAAATATGCTCTTCATTTGTTACATTGCCTTTTCACCTTCTAGGTACTACCCTTTGAAACACAATGATTTTTAATTTTGATGGCTCTTAATTTATCAATTTTTTCTTTGGTTGTTTGTGATTTTAGTCCCAAATCTAAGAAACCATTGCCTAATCCAAATGCACAAAGATTTACACCTAGTTTTTTTCTAAGGGTTTTATAATTTTATCTCTTACATTTAGGCATTTGATTTATTTTGTTAATTTTTGTCTATGTTGTGAGGTACGAGTCCAACTTCATTCTCTAGTCTGTGGATGTCTAATTGTCTCAGTACCATTTGTTAGACTATTCTTTCCCTATTATCTTGGCACCCTTGTTGAAAATCAGTTGTCCATGATTGTATGAGTTTATTTATGGATTCTAAGTTCTATACTTTTTAAAATTTTTTATTTAAATTAAATTTAGTTAACTTATATTGTATTATGAGTTTCAGGGGTAGTATTTAGCAATTCATCAGTTGCATATAACACCCAGTGCTCATTACATCATGTCCTCCTTAATGCCCGTCATCCAGTTACCCTATCCCCCACCCACCTCCTCTCCAGCAACCCTCAATTTGTTCCCTATCGTTAAGAATCTATTATGGTTTGCTTCCCTCTCTGTTTTTATCTTATTTTATTTCTCCTTCCCTTCCCCATGTTCAATTCCACTGCCTATATGTCTATCCTTATACTAGTGGCCATTGTTTTTATTACTGTAGCTTGGTAGTAAGTTTTGAAATTGGGAAATGGAGTTCTCCAGTTCTGTACTTTCTCCATATTGGTTTACCTATTTGAGGTCCCTTGCAACTCCATATGGATTTTAGAATCAGCTTGTTAATTTCTGTAAAAGAGTTAGCTGGGATTTTGGTAGGGATTGCATTTAATCTGTTGATCAAATTGGGGGGTATTTTAACAATAATACATCCCCAGTCCATGAACATGGGATGCTCTTCCATGTATTTAGGTATTTTAAAATTTCTTTCAACATTTTTTGTAGTTTTCAGTATACAAATCTCACAATGCTTTTGTTGAATTTATTCCTAAGTGTTTTGTATTTTATCCTTTGATGCTATTACAAATAGAATTGTTTTATTAATTTCACTTTAAGAATGTTAATTACTAGTGTATATAAATACAGTTGATTTTTGTATATTGGTCTTATATCCTACATTCATGCTGAACTAATAGTTTTTAGTTTTGTGTGTGAGTGTGTATTAGGATTTTCCATATTCAATATGTTGTCTGCAAATAGAGATAATTTTACATCTTTCCTTCCAATCTGAATGCCTGTCCTTTCTTTTTCTTGCCTAATTGTTTATTAAAATTACATTTATTAAAATGTAAATAAGATATGAAATGAGGGAAGACAACACTGTTTTGTCCGTGGTTTTAGGAAAAAAATTTTTAGTCTTTCACCATTGAGTATGGTTTTATCTGTGGGTTTTTCATGGATACTATTTTTCAGGTTAAGCAACTTTCTTTCTATTCCTAGTTTGTTGAGCTTTTTTTTTTTTAATAATCATGAAGGATGTATTTTCTCAAATTCTTTTTTTTTGGATGTGTGTTATTTTTCCTTTATTCTATTAATATGCTCTATTCCACTGATAATTTTTTTCAGATATTAAGCCAACCTTTTGGCTAGAGGTGAAAGATTAAGACCTTTTCAAGTATTCACACCACCCCATACACTTGTGACCTTCTAGACCTCCCCCACAAGCATCAGAGCTTTTCAAAACCCCTCAGAGACATCTTATACCCACTTTTTAAAAAGTTTTTGGCTCACCTCTTGCCTGCACCAACTCGTGGTATTGCTCCTTCAGGCAGCTGCCATGTTAAACAACTATCACTGATTGGTTTTGGCACATGCCCTGGGGATAGGCTTCCCTCACTGAAAACGCTCTGAGTCGAATAAAGACAAGCCCTGAAAATGGGGCTTTTTAAAGGAATCTGCAGACAAGTCAACCATTGAAAATTCAATGGGAATGGGTCTTTTGGGGAACTCCAAATAAATTGTGGCTGATAGGCTGCTGGTTTTCACAGCTACCAAGTTCTCATACTGCTGGCTTTCAAAGTTATTATGAGAGCAGGATGGGAATAATGCAAGTTCTAATGCCGTAAATCTTGTTCCCTTTACCAGGATTCAGCCATTTTTTCCTTAACTAAATGATCCTCAGATTGTTGCAAGCCTTTGGTTAATTTCTAGATTTCTGAAAAAGTTTTGACCATTCTTCCCAGTGTTCTCAATGATTTTATGGATTTTTGGAAGTCCTACTGCAAACATTTCAAAAATGTTCTCCCCATGGCTTTTTATTTATAAACTAATTAAATTAAATAAAGTGAGACAGTTCCTTACCCACACTAACATATTTTAAGTGCTCAACAACATGGGGCTAATAATGACTGTATTTTTATATTGCAAACACAAATGTTTGTATCATTGTAGAAAGTTCTTTTGGACAGGACCTAGAAGCAGGGAACCTAGAAGCAGGGTAGAATTCAAGATACCCTTGTTCATCCCTTTTGCCCTTCCAGGTCTGTCCCCCACAGCAACCACACTGGGGTGGACTCCTTGTGTAACTTTTCACCATTGGCCCCGAGACTGGACAGAGTTGCCATCTATTTGGAGTTCCTGAGGCTGACCAAAAATGGTACCCAGTTGCAGAACTTTACCCTGGACAGAAACAGTGTCTTTGTGGATGGTAAGGCTTCTTGGTCATTGGGGCAGGAGTTGGGGGTCCAACCTCCCCATGTGGGGCCTTTTCTGGGAATTTGGAGACCTGGGGTTGAGTCAGCATTAAACTTTTTTAGGCTAACAGGAGGTGGCATACTCCCCCAGGCTTTATCTACCATTGAGGGAGAGGAAGGGACACCCAGTGGAATATTAGAGATACTTGCCTTCTCAGAGATAGCTCTGTAACCTCAGGCTGGTCACTTCCCCTCTCTGGAATTCTGTTTCTCATCCCTGTACTGAAAGTCACTTGGCCAGTGGTCAGTGAGGGACTCTAGTTCTGAGCTGTATGTGAACCAACCTTGCAGGCATAGGGGATAGACCTCTTTTCTCCAAGACAGGCTGTGTAAAAAAAGGACCTGTATAAAAATGGACCTGACTTGGCCCATAGGCTGTAGTTTGCCAAGTTCTGCTCTGGATCAGCACCATACAGCAGAACTTTCTGCAATGATGGAATGTTCTATATCTGTGCTGTCCAGTGCAGTAGCCACATGTGACTATTGTGTACTTAAAGTCTGGCTATTGTGACTGGCTTTTATAGTTACTGATTTTTAATGTTACCAAGGTACCAGATTTTTTATTTGATTTGATGAAAATTATTTTTAATTTAAAAAGCCACTTGTAGCTGCTCCATATTGGACAGCACATCTATAAGAAGTTGGCTGGGAATAAGTTGTACAGTAGGGTGACCTGAAACTCTCTTCCATGCCTGGTGGGTTCTGTGTGTCCCTACCCTCGTGGGGTTTATGTTGCAGTTGCAATAACAAGAATAGGCAATTGAAAAGTATTAATTATTTGGTGTGAAATAATTCATACTTGGGAGTGGTCATCAGAGAAGTCTTCCTGGACAAAATTACATTGTAGGTGAATCCTGGAAAATGAGTATAAAACAACTTGGTAAAGGAGAAGGGGTGAATGTGTTTCTGGGCAGAGAAGAGAGCATTTGAGAGGGAATTTACAAATTTAGAGAGATCCGTTGGTCTTGCCAGCTATGATAACCCATTCTCCCCCCAACCATTATAAGATGGCCCAGCCCAATTTCAGTCCTCCTTGCCCAGAGATATGAATTTGATTTATTACACTCCTTGAATGTGATAATAACCTTGGATTATGTAGCAAAGTGTCCTCATTTCTTAGAGAAAAATGGGTGAATATCATGATTTCTACTTCAACATTTCAGTGAAAATATGATGAAGCAAGGGTGGCAAGTGCTAACAATTTATACACTGGATGAAATATTGTTTTAATTGGGTGAAATATACATTGTTAAATCTAGATGATGTATGTTTATGATATTGTTCTATTTTTCTGTGTATTTTAAAAGTTTTATTTAAAAAACATAAAAACAATACAAAAAAAGCATAAAACACAGTCACATGCATTCTCCATTTCATTCACTTCCAGGGTATTCTCCCAACAGAAATGATGTCTTAACTGAGAATTCTGGTAAGCCTCAAAGAAGCCCCAGCTCAGGATGGGGAAGGAATGTCTTGATGCTGTACCTAGTCAAAGAAAACCATGTACCCAGAGTCTTGATAATGATGAAAGCTGGACAACCCATGTCAGGGACTGTTAGGCACAGTACAGGGACAGCAGGAGCCCTAGGGGAATGACAGGAGGTGGCTAACACCAGCACTTATCTCCCCAGACCTCCCCTTCTGGGCCATCATCCTTATCTGCTTGGCGGGACTCCTGGTACTCATCACATGCCTGATCTGCTGCTTCCTGGTAAGTAAGGAGGGTTGCTTGTCTTTTTACTATTGGGTTGTAAGAGTTCTTTATATTTTATAAATATATGTCCTTTGCTGGGAAAATGTTTTATGAATTTTTCTCACAGTTTGTGTGTGTCTTGCTTTTTCCTTTTTTTAATTGTTTTTTTTACAGATTTATGTATTTATTTGAGAGAGAAAAAATGAACAGGCAGAGGGGCAGAGGGAGAGGGAGAGAGAGAATCCTCAAGCAGATTCCCCACAGAGGGCAGAGCCTGATGGGGGGCTCGATCCCAGGACCCTGAGATCATGACCAGAGCTGAAATCAAGAGTTGGCCTCTTAACCGATTGAGTCACCCAGTGCCCCTTGCTTTTTCCTTCTTTTAAACAACATAAGTCTTAGAGAAACATAAGTGAAAGTCATAATGAGATACTATGACACATGAGGATGGCTAAAATTAAAAAGATTGACTCTTACAAGTGGTGGTGAAGATGAGGACTACTGGAACTCTCAAATAGAGCTGGTGAGAAATAGCTTAGATGCATCTTTAAAGGTTACATATACCTACCCAGCCATTCTACTCCTAGGAATTCATGGAAGAGAAATATAAAATAAAATTAAAATAAAATAATCTATACAAAGACTTGTACACAAATGTTCATAATAACTTCATAAAAACTGAAAACAACCCAGAGGTCTGTCAACAAGTGAATGGATAAACAAACCATAGTCTAGCCCCACAAAGTAATACTAATTCAGCAATAAAAAGGAATAAATTATAAATGCATGCACTGACATGCATAAATCTCAAAATAGTAATATGGAGTGAAAGAAGCTGGATAACAATGAGTACATAATGTATGATCCTGCTTAAAGCAAATTGCAGAATACGAGCTAATCTACAGGGATATCATTCAGATCAGTGGTTGCCTGGGAACGAGAATGTGTTTGCAAATGGCAGGGAAGGAGGAATTACAAAGGAGCATGAGGACACTTTTGGGAATGACGAGCATTCCTTGTCTTGATTGTGGTGATGGTTCACGAAGTTATAATCAAAACTTATCAAATCGTTCGCTTTTCATGCATACAGGTCATTGTACACCAGTTATACCTCAGTTAAGCTAGAGGGTGCCTGTGTGGAGGGAGAGGGAGGGAGGGAAGAGGAGGATATGAATGGGATATCAGAGAAAAGAGTAGAAAAACAGAGCTAAAGGGAAAAGAGAAGAGAAAGAGATAAAAGAGGTACAAGACATGCATGAGAGAAAATGAAGTAGAAAAGGGTCGAGAGACACACAGGGGGCAGCAGGCATCTGTGGCTTTGGCCACCCCCATCCCTGTGGTCCCAGGCCATTCTCATGCTCTCTTCTTGCCCTCGCAGGTCGCTGTCTGCCGGCGGAAGAAGGAGGGAAACTACGAGGTTCAGCAGCACAGCCTGGGCTCTTACCTGCCACACCTGGACCTGAGGAAGCTGCAGTGAGAGCTCTGCGTGAGGCTCCAACGGAGCTTGGCTGGAGCAGGAATAAACCACATTGGTCGGACACAGTCTCTGGGCCCTTCTTGACTTGGCCCCTGACTAGTTCACAGGGGACCAAGATGAAAGGTTTTCCCTTCCACTGAGTCCTGAAGGGCAACTGCAAGTCTGTGTTTTGGTTTCATGCCATTTCGTCCCTCAGAGGCACCAGAACTGGCAAGAGACCCAGACATTGTCAATCATGTAAAATCAACATCCCACCTCAGTGCGAGGTTTCTCTTCCTAGAAACCTTGGAGCACGCCTCCCCTTGGCTCTGTGTCAGCCACCACACCCATCTCCGTTCCTCCATATTTCCCCACCCACAAAGTTCCCCTAACACTGTCTCATTCTCTGAAGCTCAGGTTCACCAGGACTTCCAGACCAGTCTGCCTCAGTGGCTCCTCTCCCCTCATGGGTCCTCCAAGATGGGAAATAATCCAAGAAGAAATGAGTGAGTCAGGAATGACTCGGCAATCAACGTTGGGACTTGGAGCTGAAATCACTAGGTATCCAGGAAGCCTCAGTCCCAGAGAAATCCCAAGGTTTGAGAGACTTAGTGTCTGCTTTTGATATAAAGATAAATAACACTCAGTGGGAAAGAAAAAATCTGAGGAAAAAGCTAGATAGTCTTTCTTCATCTTTCTCTGCACTGATTCCAGCTAGACAGAGCAGGGTCTCCCCAGCAAGCAGCCCCAGATGAGCCAGGCACGAGGCAAGCTGTGCTGTCCTGCTTTGGGTTTGCAGGAATAGTTGGCATGACCTCTACACATTTTGCAGACGACCACAGCTGAAGACACCCAAGGGCAGAGAATTCACAGCAGTGCCACCCATTCAGACTTACTTGGTGTGAGCGTCACATCCTCAGTCTTAAGCAGTCATTCTCTGAGAATGCCTTCTCTGGAAATTATAATAACGATAACAAGAGCTATCATTATTGATGCCTTAATATCTACTAAGCAACATGAGTGGGCAAACTTTCCCAGCCGTGCTCTCAATCTCTAGCCTCTGTGTGCATTGTCTCAGTTACACTCACTATCCTTGAGAGCTGCATTCCCATTTTATAGCTAATGGTATGGGGGCTCAGAAATACTAAATAACCAGGAGGGAAAAAAATTACTAAGAACCTAAATTAAACACCTCACCACACTATCTGTCAAAGAAAAAGATAAAAACACTTTCTGAAATATGGACAGACTCAACATTGACCTGCCAAAGGCCTTCAGTCAAAGAACCAGTTAAGGATGTACATCAGGAAGCATAAATGTGACCACAGAAAAGTGTAACAGGAGTCATGAGGAAAAGAAAAAATTCAGTGTATCTAAATCAGAATTAGTTTTAAAACGAGATGTTAAAACACATTCTAAAATTCCAGATGAGTACTTCCTGGAAGAATAGAGGAGAGAAGATTCAATTTTAAAATAACCCATTTTTAGGAAAGATAGAAATACTATAAATATTATTATTTTTTAATAACTCATTCTCAGAAACTGATGAATCCATGAGACAGAAGTTAAGTAATGATGAAAAGGATTTGAATATTACCACAGGTTGCTCAAGCAAATTGACAATTAAATCCCAATGAGCAATAGCTCAGTGATAGATTAATGATGCTGAAAAGAGTCTCTCTTGACATCATGATCCCCAAAATGGCACATCAGTTTTCATGAATCAAATTTCCAACATATAGAGATATTTTAAAAAGTGAGAAGTCTGGTATTTCCTTGTACTGAACTCTGAATTAACATGCAACAAAGAACAGAAAAATAGAGACCTACAAACAGGTATCTTCTTTGAGAACATTAAAAAAAATATCATGTTGGATTCTGTTGGAATATTAACACTAAAACAACAGTCCATTTCGACCAGGCATGTTTTACCCTGACTGTGAGGGCAGAACACTAAATAATCGCATGACTTTGATCACTCTCTGTTGACTTTAAAATACAAATAACATACAAAGTAAGGGAAGATAACAGCACCTCATGGAGAGGAAAGATCTCTTTTCTCTTCTCGCCTGAAACCCAATCTTGCAGTTGAAAAAGATCACTGTCTCTATTGTCTATGTCACACAAAATAATTTAATACCAGAAAAGTACTGATACATATTAAAGTTTTGAGGGCTCGGAGCACGAAGACACCATGGACACTGCAAAGAGACGTTAATAAAGTGCCCTGCGCCATTTCATCTGCCCTAGCTTCTCTTTTTTTCATGGTGTTTTTCAGGCTGTCCTTCTTGGCCCCTCATTATCTCTGCCTCTCTAGCAAGTCTGTCTACAGCCAGTGCTGTGGCCAACCTTTCTCTTGCTGTCTTCACTTTCCTTTCCTGTTTCCTGATATCTTCTGCAGTCACCAGAAATTGTTTGCACAGGAGCTGTGGGATACCCAGATCAACTCCTGAAGACCCAGCAGGGATGGGCATGGGGCTGGAGTTCAGACTACCTGCAAGAACACCTGGCAGATATTCACCTGTGCACCTAGGTTCAAGTTTTTGCAAGGCTTTGGCAAGATCCAAAGTGCTTAATGGTTCCCCTGTGCTGCTGCAGGCCTGGAGACCTTGTAGCCTCTTCTGCCAGCACACCTGTTGGGGCTTGTCCAGGGTTTCCTCCCAGTGATGGCATCTGACCTCATTACCAGGATGGGATGTAATTCTAGTAACTGGCCTCTTGAATATGTAACTGGACATCCTCAAAGGGATCGAGACACTTAAGCAAGACTTTGGTTTGGATTGGTTTCCACAATCATGTTGCTTCCTCTGTGGAGTCTTGACCATCATACTTCTTTTGCTTTTACTCTATAAAAATAAATCATGAGATTGGTTTAAAATTGGTGTAAAATGGTTTAAAAGGTTGCCTTCTTAGGAGCATGGTATCGGTTATCTTGTACTTCCACCTTCCTTCTCTACCTCTGGGGATAGATCTGACCTGTGTCCTGGGATGTCATCAAATAGACTTGGATCAAAACCAGAAAGTTCAAGGTCAAAATTCAGGACCTACTCCAGATCATTTCTCCTTCACCATCTTGTAAGATCCTCTCTTTTATGATTTATTCTCACTTGTCCTTGTCACTCTCAACCATACAATTCCCGGTCTTCCCCCCTACCCCTGGACACACAGTGCCGAGTCTTTTTCTAAATCTCCAGCCCCACCATCCTTCTGTGTTAGGTGACTATTCATTTGGTCGACCTGTTGACCACTTGGCTTTCAGAACTTAAACCAATAGTGAAATTATCATCTGCCCTGTTCTTAGCAACTCACTCCCATATCCCAGACATTTACATCAACCAACAATGTCATGGTAAAAAATAATTCAGAAAACATATTCACCCACCACAAATTCCTGATTTTCAGTTTTCACTCAAACACTTATACAACAGTTACCTGTCCCTCAAGATTGGAAGTGATGCCAGATCACCATATCCTCACCTTACTTTCTCTCCTATTCCTACCAATCCTGGATTCCATGGTCTATGATCTCAATAATTCCCTTGGAATAATTCAGAATTCCTTAACACTTATCATATCTGCCTTGTAAAATTTCAAATCTGGAAGACCCTCATTATCCACCATGCCATAGCTACTGCTAGTCTTTGGTACCACTATAAATCCAAAATCATCTGCATCCACTGCAAAACATCCATAATGCCTGGAAATTTTACTTGATTTTTTATGTGTTGGCATATTTATTCCTTGGCTTTTCACAAAGCTTCCCTACGTTTTACTGCATACATATCCAAGATCCCTTAACTTGCCTGATATTTCACAGAGAAATGGTTCTTTCCACTCCTTCCCTTTCGTTGTGGATCACTGAGAAAAAGTCATCTACATCCTGTGCCTCTGGGGCCTCATCTTCAAGCACCTCCTCAGACCACCCCACTCTTCCATCTGCCCTCACCATTCTGTGGGTGCTTCCTTGATAAGGTCACAATGACTCCTGTGTTACTAGACCCAGTAGGAACTTTTCAGTATTCATATGACAAGATCTTTAAGTGGAAAACTTACAGATATGTTTGCAACAACTTAGATATGTGAACCCTATTTTACATCTGTGAATAGTGTACAATCTAAATACAAAGCAGATACATCCGACAAAATTCAACTTACAAAATGAGACTGTGTTGTAAGTGGAAAGTGCTGGATTTCTGATACACAGCACACAAAAAAAATGTAAACTATCTCTATTAATTTTTACATTGATTGCATGCACAGGTAAAAATATCTTGGTTATAATGTTTTAAAATATATTACTAAAATTCATTTCATATGTTTGTTTTTATCTTTTTAAAGGCGGCTACTAAATTTTAAAAATTCCATATTATAGAGTGCTTAGTGGTCCTATTGACAGCCCTGATCAAGCCGTGCGTAAAAATAAAGCCCAGAGCAAAATGACTGGGAAAAATTTTCCCAAGGAGAGGAGTCTACCTCCACCCCATAGCAAGATGCAGCATGTATACACACACACACACACACACACACACACTCACACACACGGTTGATGTCCCAGAGTACCACCATTACTTCTCAAACGCCATGAGGTTGCACTCCCACAGAGTCCAAACTGGACTTGATCTCAAGAGAGAAGTCAGAAGTCCATATAATTTACCATTTAGGGAGAGCCAAACCAGAGACTATGCATAAAAATATTTTGTGGGTTGCCCATCATCGGCTTCTATTATAAATTCAATTTGTTTGGGAAACTCTTCCAGGTAGGGTCATTTTAAAAATACACAGTAAATGTAAATAACAATCACTCTAGCCAATAAATGAAATTGAGAGGATAGAACACAAATATTATCATTATCAAATCACTACTGGATTTGTGAGTCAGTCAGGGAACAGATGAGATTGGATTAATTAGGTGACTCTAATTGCACGGCCATAATATTGATCATATTACGCTAGGACTTCTGAAACATGGCAGCCCTCCCAACTACTTAACCACCAAAGCCCACCAACCAGACAGGTTGTTGCTGGCAAATCCCCTCTGACAACACCTGGAGGATTTTCCCCAACATCCCACTCTGCCACTGCATTCT